TGGTCAATCACATGATTTCATATGAATACCACATGATTACTATTAAAAATGATCTACGGACACCCTACCCTTAATTTCATGGCTTTTTGTCGATAAATGATTTGGTAAGTTAATCATACATAGTAAAATACGGATTCTATTCAGTAACACAGCAGTATGAGTTACCGATCGACTAAATGCATGCTCACTATTGATGCATTGTTCAAAAAAAAAAAAAAAAAATTTACATCGATTTGAACAATGCATTAAAGAAACAAATAACGATAAATATATTTTTTATTTCAAGCGCACTATTCTAAATAAGATAATCATTTCATTACGAAAGGTAGCGTTTAAACAGATTATTATATCTATTGTATAGAAATTAATAAACTTTTCCCGCATAAATAACATTTATTATTATTATGATTATTGTTATTATTATTATTCCCGTTTTATATGACGGAGATTAATCATAATTTATTTCTTTTAGTTATTTCCTAGGCTTATTAACAATGTAAATGTAAGTGAAGACAAAGGAGTGTGATAGAAATGATCAGTAACGCGGATCCCTGTCATGTCGTCATATGTCGGAGAAATAATTGAAACATCCCCTAGCGGCGCACTTATGGGGACGCAAAGCGCCCCACATATGCCACTAGATAAATACGTAGTATATTATTATTACTATTATTATTTTATTATGATTATTATTAACGCTCGGAGATTAAAAGTCAATGCTGAATTACTTTAATAATTTAGTTCATATAATTATCCGATAGCATAGAAAGTAGGTTAGTGGATTTATAATAAAGCTTTACAATTACGGTTTAATGGCTTACGGGTGACTAATATTGCTATATTGATTAAAAATTGGGGATAATTAATGTATTGGAAGCTTTGTATTGACAGTGTTAAAGTCACTCGAATATTATTAATATAATTATGTGATTGCTGCTATAGCCACCGGGTGACTTTAACTTGGGTGAAAATAGAATTCTTGAAGTATTTTTTTTTTTTTCATATCAATTACATAATAACATTATGTGCATTGAAAAACTGTGCGCCTTAGTTGTTACTAAATCATTTTGCAACTTTTTAAACACCTTTTGTTGTTCCCTAATAAATAATTATTATGGTCGTTCCACCATTTACATTCTTTATAAAACTATATAATCCTTCAATTTTTCGGGTTCATTTTGTTTAAAAATTTTTTTTAAAAAAATTACCATTATGACTCAACCAATAAATCAAACATTTGGTCAACCTTCTATACCTCAAAACGTTAATATTCCTATCAATCAAACAGTTGTTCAACCTTTGATAACTCGAAATATTAATACTCCTGTAAATTCATCCTTTGATAATCTTACTGCTGAACAAAGATATAAAATTTTAACTGAAGGCACAGATCCGTTTACTAGTGCCAAAGCAGAAGGAACAGAAAACCAGGCAGTTTATCAATTCCCGGATGTTATTGTTTCAGGATCACACTTTGTGTAAGCAAAAATTCTGATTTTTTTTTCACTAAACTTTCAAAAAAAAGCTTAACATATTTCTCTTTTTTTATTGAATCATCAATTAATTATGTACTTCATGTATGCAGTGGATCTGTTTTAAATCTTTAACTATATATTTTACTTTTATGCGGATTATAGCTTAAAATTATAATAGGAGAAAATGTAAAACAGAGAATTTTTTATTCTACGTTTTTATAAATTTCACTATTCTTTAAACCGCATTATGCACGATAATTATCATGTATTGACAATTTACAGGAAAATTTGTTTTAAGGAAAATACTACTAATCAAGTCGGTAGCAAAAAGTTGTTAATATAAATTCTAGTTGGTGTATTAACTAGCAATCAGTGACTCAATATTAAAAGTAGTGCTAATAAAATTAGATTCATTGAACCTCTTCTTAATTTCTTATTGACGTGCAAAAAATATATTTCTCGAGTTAAAAATAATTCACAAAGTTCGATTAATTAAAGTTAAAAAAGTTAACCATATTGAGTCATATTAGCAAAAGATTCAACTTTCATGGGCAAGCAACAACTATCGGTCACTTACAAATAAAATATGGTGTCACTAAGGGAAAACCTGTAAGTACCGATACATACGGATTTAAAATTTCATTGTACCGGACTTAAAACTCAGAGTTATAATCAGTGGTTTAATGTTTCGATAACATTTTGAATATACGTACGTATGTATGTACATATTTGCGCCTAAAGCTACAGTAGAACACAGATTAAAATGTGATATCATAATTTTTCGGAGATCCGGTACCGGTATCGGTATAGTGAAATTTTAATTTGTACTTACGGGTTTTCACTGCAGTATTCATGTGTGTATGATGCTTATTCACGCGATTTTTAATTGTCATTACATTGTTTACCTTGAGGGGATTGTTTCAAATTCGGAGCGCGCCAAAGCAAAAATTTGTATTACATAGAGGTTGTAAACAAATATTTATAAAATCACATTACACAAAGTAACAGGTTGTAAAAAGACATACTTGTAAGAAATGCCATGATAAAAAAATAATAGAAGTTATAAAAATCACCTTAAAGACATATTTGCAACAAACCATATCACATAATAAAAAGTCACAAAAAGATGCATTTATAAAAATGCATTATATAAAAATAACAGAAGTTGTAAAGAAGCATTCATAAAAAAGTTATAAAGGACGTATTTATAAATTACATAATAATATGCTTTAAAAAATCACATTATCGATAACAAAGGCCTTTATAAAAATTACACAAAAGTAAACAAATCATGAAAAATGCATCAATAAAACACGCATTAAGTAAAAATAATTCATACGTACTTGTAAAGAAATTGTATTCCGTAAAAAAAAAATATTAAGAGTCACGACGGCACAAAAAAGGATGTCCATTAAGGTTCGAGACACACTGCATTAAAAAAAAATATATATATATCATTTTTGTTAGACGTTATTTTCAATTTGGCCCCCGCCCAGTTTCCTAAAAAAAGGTACATCCAAAAGCGAACAAACCTTCTTTAGAATATCCCCCCTAAAAAAATGCAATAGAATCATTGTTCTAATTATGATACGATCGATATTCACGTAAATCTATCCTTTGATAAACTTACTGCGATCAAATATGAAAATCATTAACTGTTAATTAAGATTTGCTATAGTGTAAAGAATAGGAGATCATGAGTTTCTTAATTCTAGCTGTTATTTCTTTAGAACCTCTCTTCAAATAAGTTCAAATAAGCAAAACGTTATTATTATTTTACTAAAAGACTATCTATAATTAACAAATGTGGCTTTTCTTTTTTCGAATCTTTACATATCTTATATAGCTTTTCTATGGTTTATACGTATATATTTTATGTATTTTACTTTCATTCATGCGATACTGTCTGATGTTCATGTATCACGGTATCACCAAATATGTAAGGGAGATCGAGAAGAATTATAGCTAATAAATTATGCATCAATCAGAATTAAGTAATTCAATTCATTTTAATAAATGGTATCAAAATTATTCAATACCTTTATTTAAACAATATAAAGGTCAAGGTATTACGATAAGTAGGTATTGTGACACTTGCCGGACAAACTCTTGGGATTTGGAATTTGACCATGGAAATCCGGACAAATGGGATCGTCCAGCTGAGTCTAAAAATCTCAAATCAAAATCTCGAAAATATTATTACCAATGGTTTTATTCATCAAATTGTTGAGTTGAATTTTAAAATATCACATGATTTGAGGGCATGAATCCGCTTATCAAATTGCAGAATTAAGAAATTACCGTAATTTACGAATTTATGTAATTTTTGCGTTAAAAGATTCGCGATCAAATTTTCGGCGATTTGAGGAGTTAAATTCGGATCATACATTCAAATCAAATAGTACAATAATGCAGGCCAAATTTTGTAAAGCCGGTACTTAATATAAAACATGATAAAAATTACTTGAAATTTGAAAATACATGTATTGTAAGATTGTAACTTCCGTAACTGCTGTAACACAACCCTAAGTGATTGATTAAAATCCAGAAGTTACCATATGAGTGAGTGAAAGTAACCAATCATAGTAAATTATTTAAATCTATTTCCAGGTTTTCTCTCTCACGCACGCACTCATATAAACAAGATGATCTGATCAACCCCAACCCATTTGTTATGTATCAAACATTTGGCATATCTTATGCATCTTATGTATGTTTTCGTATTCTATCTATCTTATGTATCACATATCTTATGTGTACGTATCACATATCATATATCTTACTGTATGTACGTACATATCTGATATCATATATATCTTACTGTATGTACATATCTGATATCATATATCTTATGTATGTATCATATACGTATTTTATATACGTATCATATATCTTATGTATCCTATGCAGTGTTGTCATTCTACTACAGTACTATATATGTCCAAGACTTTTTTATATCATGTCCAATGTCCAAACGTCCACATGTCCAAGAATGTCCACAGCATATTCAAGCTTCAGAATTTTGTATATTAATTTAAACGACATTACTAAAATACAACATTACTAAAATACACCTCACCTATGCATACGTTATAATATCTCAACTCAAAAAATATATAATTTTATATTTTTTTATAGTACGTACTAGATACTTTTATTTAGAGTTAAATAGGTTAATAAAATTTTTTTATTTATTTGTCCAGAAATGTCCAAAGTGTCCAAACTTATGTCCACAACTGTCCCGTGACAACATTGATCCTATATATCTTATGTATCCTACGTATTTCTTACTTGTCCGCCTACCTACGTACTCATATATCTATTCATGTACTGCTTCATGTGCCCAGTCCCAGTCATATACCTATTCATGTATCCATTCGTGTACCACTTCATGTGCCCAGTCATATACCTATTCATGTATCTATTCATGTACCATTAATGTGTTCAGTCATATACCTATTCATGTATTCATTCATATACCTATTCATGTATCCATTCATATACCTACTCGTGTATCCATTCATGTATCTACTCGTGTATCCATTCATGTACCTACTCGTGCATCCATTCATGTACCCACTCGTGTATCCATTCATGTACCCACTCATGTGCCCAGTCATGTATCCACTCGTATACCTACCTATCTACTCATGTACCCAGTTATATACTTACGTACATATCAGTTATGTATGTGCTAAAATCCCTGGTTTTTAGCCTTAGTTCTTGAAACAAATAAATTCTCTTTTCTTATTGGAAAATTCCTTTTTCTTATTGGAATAAAGAATTGATATTCGTCATAATAATTTTCCGTGTAAGGACAATGGTGGATCGGTTGATCAATTCCTTTTTTTTTTATTTTAATGCGGAGAATGCATTTTTTTTTATTTTAATGCGGAGAATGTATTTTTTATTTTAATGCAGAGAATGTACTATATTTTTTTATTTTAATGCGGAGAATGCGGAGAATGCAATTTTTTTTATTTGAATGTGGAGAATGTATTTTTTATTTTAATGCGGAGAATGTATTTTTTTATTTTAATGCGGAGAATGCGGAGAATGCATTTTTTTTTATTTTAATGTGGAGAATGTGGAGAATGCATTTTTTTTTTTTAATGTGGAGTATGCATTTTTTTTTTTTTTTTAATGTGGAGAATGCATTTTTTTTTATTTTAATGCGGGGAATGCAATTTTTTTTATTTTAATGTGGAGAATGCATTTTTTTTTATTTGTAATGTGGAGAATGCATTTTTTTTTTTTTTTTTTTTTTTTACAATACTGCAATACAGTATGATACTTTAAAATTATTATAAAATTCACGGATTCTAATTTTATCAAAGTAAAAAAGCCTTCGTGATAATAATAAATCCATGCAGTATAAAGTAACCCTGATTTCATAAAAAAAAAAACATATACATTTTCATATACGGTCTTTCCATAGTTAATATTAGTATTCCCTGGTATCCCTTAAATAGATCCCATCCCATAATTACAGATATTCTTGTGCTAATAAAATTTATGTGTATGTATATCTTATGTTTTGAGCTTCTACATCGGTATTTTATGTTTTACTTTAATGTTATATTTATTTTTTTGTATGTTACAAAAAAGAGGAAATTTGACAACAAAAGATCTGAAATCAATTTCCATGTTATAAATTTTATAATTCATCATAAAATATAGAATTTAAAAAGTTATACTGTAAGATTTTTTTTATATAACTGAGTTTATGCATTAAATAAAAATTAATCTACGGTAAATTTATTTATGCAAGGAACTTTTTTTAAAAAAAATTCACTTTTGAGAAATTCGCTTTACAGAATACTAACTTATCTATAATAATATGTAATTGAAATATTGTTCTCTTGCCTTTATTTTTTTTATCTTATTACATCAAGCCATACTCCGTGAAGTGTTGTATCTGCAGCATTCATTTAGATATCGATATATATAATCTAGATTTGGTATCGAGATTGAATTTTAGACTTTTCCTGTTTGGGATTTTGAATTTTTCCACTTAGGATTTGGGTTGGTCAGTGCGCAAAATTTCCGGGTGATATAACCTCCATTTTGCCAGCAATCTTTTTTTAAATTGGAGGTTCAGATATGATGACCAATGAAATTTGTCTAAGCAATGTAAATTTTCTGAATGATGAAAAGCCGAGCCGGCAATTGGTTTAATTGTGCTATGGTGTGGGTAAATTTATAATTTGGCCGGGATGTATACAGTAGATATATTTTGATCCAATGACAGGAATTGGATAATTTTGAGTACCAAAATTATTTAAGATTCGTCGTAATATCTATATTAAGAATTGGAGTCAGTTTAGTTGACTAATTAGTCAATTAAACTGATTTCAATTCTTGAATCTATATTATCATAATATCTCGATATTCCTTATTGTTATCTTAAAAACTATGGATGGAAAAAAGTGGTAAAGAGTCTTTTGGGGTTTAAACATCAGCGCTGAGTCTAAAATTCGGTTAGGGCTAAAACTGATGCTTCTTATTAGTTAATTTAGCATCGATCACGTTCAACAGCATTTTTGGCTGTTAGATCAAGGCAGCATTTAAAAAATAATACAGAGAAACCTCCCTAAATGCATTCTGTCTGGACCAAACCCTTGTAATATACAATAAGAAAAATTGCATTTAGGGAGATTAAGTACATATTGGGGCCAAAGTTTAAATTTATAAAGATAGTGCATTTATAGAGGATGTATTTAGAAAAGTTTTTATCATTTTCGTCTCTATTAAGAACCCTGAATCTAATATATAATTTTAATATCATTAAATTCATATTAATGAGATAAATTGAATGGTATCAAATTTATTCAATCCTGACACTAAATCATTGAAGAATATCTGTAATGGGGGATTTCAAAATTAGCAAAAAATAGCGTATTTCATAGTATTTTTACTATGTTTACTTATGAATCGGAAAAATAAGATTACTGATTTAATTTTGAAACCTCAATATATCATTGTGGCGAATTAAAAATTTTACTATTAGTAAATCCATACTGATTTTTGCGAGTTAGGATGCGTCATTATAATAAATTTCTATGTATAATGAAATGCGTCAAAAGTGGGAAAGATGGTTAGACGCGTTATTAATCTAGATCAGAGGTCCAAAAACTTTTCGGAGTTTAGCATTTTTAATATTTTCAAATAAATTATCTCAATATCTAGTACAGTAGTAATCAAATTCGAATAACTTTTTGACACCATTCGATTCGTTTTACTGAGACAAATTGAATAGCACCGAATTTACTTAATTCTAGTTTATGTATAATAAATTATTACTATAATAAAAATTGGTCCAACCTGTGTATATTGAATAATTGTCCGGAGCGTAGCGGAGGACTTAAATTTTCAAGAATACATATGGAATGTGATCCTATGTCCGACCACGTGATTAATTAATATTAAAATCAATTAGGGTGTGTGGCACGGCAAAAAAATTTGGCATGCCATTAGCCATAATATAATTGAACCATCTTCCGGAATATTTCGGACCTTTGCTTCAATTTTCTCTTGTAATTTTATGTTGTCTGATTTTCTACTCGGAATATTTCAGAATATCCAAATATCAGTTTAGCCAGAGCGAGACGTATCATATAAGTGGCATGCCTATAGACTATTTTTGTTTTGGGCATGCCCTATGGCATGCCAATGACCACTGTACCACACACCCTAAAATCAATACATTTAATTGGATGTTACGCTCCGGACTTACAACAGTTTCTGATTTCCTAGTTTAGGAAAACAAGTGAATCAAAAAAATACAAATAGAGGAACTTATTTATAATGAGTGTGGCTTTCGAAAAGAAAAAAAACATACTGTTTGTTTCGCTAACCTGAGACTGTCTAGTAAATATACTTTATACTTCGTCATAATCACCTGATCTCCCTTATGTTACGTATTCTTAATTCACATACATCAACCTTTAAAATTAGAACTTAATATATATGATACTATTGTGATTTGCATCCTAACCGTACGTCGTAAGTACGTACGTACGTACGTGTGTATTCACACATTGTCAATGTGCCACACGTGTAATCTGAATCTTTCTAAAAAGAATTTTTTTTATTTGCATACAAGCATAATGCGGTAAGGTCCAGTGACCCGCAATAATGCATCTCCCTGTGACTTCGTTCACAAGCGGTTAGAGAATTTGGATTAAGCTTTCATATTACATAACGATAGTACACATTTTCCAATTGTGATATCACAAATGTACGTACGTACGTTACAATAATTATAATATTATATATATTTCATATCTGATATATTTACAATAATTATAATATTTATATATTTATATTTACATATTTACATATTTGTACATTACGTACAGTACGTATACACATAATCGATGTCGATATTTACATATGTATTTACATATATATTTACAATATTTTACAATATTTACATATCAATATTCATATACATACGTACGTACGTATGCAGCATTTACCTGTTACAATATCATGATATCGTATCGATATTTACATCATATTCATATATACGTATGCAGCATTTACAATATCGATATAGTATTTACAATATCGATATCGATATTCACATATTCCTGTATTCATATATATATTTATATATTTACAATATTTACATATTTATACATTTTTACATTTACATATTTACATATTTACATATACGTATATTTACAATATTTTACAATATTTACATTACATCTTTACATATTCACATATTCATATATTTACAATTTTTTACATTTATATATTCACATATTCATATATTTACATATTTATGTATTTACAGAGATTCGTTTTAATTAAATATCACTAGTTTTACAAGCCTAACTTTATTAAACACCTTTTATTGTAGGTCCCCAACAAATAATTATTATAACCATTCCATCATTTACGTTCCCAATATCATAAAACTATAAAAACCTCAAATTTTTATCTTTTTTGTTTTTTTAAGGCAAAAAAACCTTCAATAAAATTTTAAAACTGCTATTACTGTATTATCATTATGAATCAAAACATAAATCGAACAATTGGAGGTCAGCTTTTGGCACCTCAAAACACAAATATTTCTGTAAATTTACCCTTCGATAATCTTACACCCGAGCAAAAATTTGAACTTTTAGCTAAAGGCACAGATTCGTTTATTGTACAAGAAACGAAAAATCAGACGGTTCTTCAATTTCAGGACTTTCTCTTTTCGGGGTCACCCACTGTATAAGCAAAATTATATGATTTTTTCACTTCAGAACATTTTTTAAAAAAAGTGGCGTTTTTTTTTTTGAATCTTTAAAAAAAAATTCGGGTTTTTTTTCTTAAATCTTTATATGTATTACTTTTATTTATACGGCTAATTTTTTTAAAATTTCGTACTTTTATGACTTTTATGCAGATTATGGCATGACTATAGATAGAAAAGAATATAAAGATAAAATTTTTTTTTATAAATTTTTACTATTTCTTAAATCGCCTCACTATCATTGTGAAAACGGACAATAATTTGGCAAATTTTTCTGCAAGATGATAATGTATTTTATTAGAACGATATATATTTTTTGATTAATAAAATTAGTAGATTTGGCAAAACGGCTGATTT